AAACCATAGACGCGGAGCCACTGGAGGAGAGAGAAGGAAAGACGCGAGGTGTTCGGAACTTCGGAGCCTCGGGTGTTTGTGTTCGCGAAGCAGGTGGGTCGAGTCTCGTTTTTATTTTGGTTGTTTGGGGGTGTTTGTGTGATTGGGTGGGTGGTTGTGCGTGTGTGTGTGTGTGTGTGTGTGTGTGTGTGTGTGTGTGTGTGTGTGTGTGTGTGTGTGTGTGTGTGTGTGTGTGTGTGTGTGTGTGTGTGTGTGTGTGTGGGTGTGGGTGGGTGGGTGAGCGGCTGGTTGGGTGTGTGGGGGGAGGTTGTATATGCGTGTATGTGTGTGCGTGTGTGTGTGACTGTCAGTGCGTTCGTGTAAGCACACAAATATATTAATTTTCTTTACTGCTTGTATTGGTGAATCATTCTGGTCAGAAAATATCAATGCAGTACAAACAAAAGCCTATCCGAAGCAGGTAAAACACCAATGTAAATAATTCAGTCACACCAAAACCGCCACAGCCCCATTTTCTTCGAAACCTAAGGAGCCTAAACCCATTTTCTATAACAAACCTTCTTTTATAAATTCCTAGCTAAGCCCCTGCACCGTACTATTATTTAAATTATGTAGATATTTATGAACGTACTGTAAGGACAGAAATTGGAGCAAGTATGTTCCTTATCTCCCTTGTAGATTTAACACCTGATATCATTCGAGATATATGTATAGCCTAATGCTCACAAGGTTAAACTGTAGATTCGTTTTATTGTTTCCGTTATTCCTTTGTTCAGATTCTATTTCATGAGATAGAATACCACAATAAATTTTATTGGAGTGGTAGGATCAGTGTACTTTAACTGATATGTTTTTGTTTTATAATGCATGGTGTTTGATGCTTCGGTATAATTCATTATAATGATAATTGTTGATTTTGATGATGACAAATGTGAGTAAGATGATCACGATATTAGTGCTAATAATGATGGTTTTGTTTCTACCAACAGCAACAATAATGATAATAACAATAATGATTATATTAACAGTAATAATCATATTAATAACAGTAATGATAGCAGTAGTAGTAGTACAGCATTTACAACTTTAAAATCCCATGAATCTCATGGATATCTAGAAAACAAAAACCGAATTAAGCACATCACATCACACCCACCAAGAAGACAAGAAAAAAACTATATATAAAAAGTCCTACTAATTATTTCCTCTTTTCTCTCAGAATCCAACATGGCGCCAGTGAAGGCAGCCAAAACCGACTCCTTGCGGTTGTTCAGGGGACAAGACTACGCCAAGTTAAAAGCCAAGTGTTGGTCAGAAGCTCAGCTGTTCACCGACCCGGAATTTCCAGCTGATGCTACCTCGCTGGGTTTCGATAAGGACGTGGAGTGGAAGAGACCAACGGTAGGGCGTTAAATCAGGTGTTAAGTGTGTGGGGATGGGTGGGCAGGTGGACGAGTGGGGGGAGAGAGGGGGGATGTGTGTGTGTGTGTGTGTGTGTGTGTGTGTGTGTGTGTGTGTGTGTGTGTGTGTGTGTGTGTGACAGAGAGAGAGTACCCGTGTGTGTGCGTATTTCTACATGCATGCATTAAATACAACTTTATTTATACATTAACTTCTTTAAAAATATACCCATTTAAAGATATGTTGTCTCTCTTGCAGGAGATGGTGACATATCCACAGTTCATGAAGGATGTTAACAGATTTTCAGTCGTGCAGGGAGAATTAGGTATGTTTCAATTTTTTTTGATTATTGGAATCATAAATATCGTTTATAAAAGTTTATTTTTATCAAACGTGGACAGTTAGTGAAAACTTATTGAATAATAGGTTGAAGGACATGGTACAGTGTTTCCACGTAGTAATATCTAACTGACTGTAAGTCTGAAGGAAAACAAATTCGATATCTAAACAAATCACTGACATCCATAGAATGATAAGATAGATAAATTAAATTTAAAGACAAAGGAGTTATCGACACATAACAATATATATCTCCTTGTACTGAACACTCTGACATTTATTAACTGTTGTCACATTTTTCGATATCCGCTACTGTTGGGATTGATGGATGTCTGATTAGACTTGACCGTTTTTATTTCATCATTTGAGTCTAACAATAAAATGACAATTCAGGTTATGTTTTCTTATATTTAACGCTTTATCCCTTACTTACCCGATAACCATAATTACCAACTAAATGGATGAAAATAGAAATGAATTAAGAGAATTATTTAACTGTTTATATAAATATAACTTATTACTTATAGATCAATCATCTGATAACCAAATTACCTCATAATTTACTTAAATGTGATCGTAGTACAATATGAAACAAAAATGTCTGTGATAAATATTTTGATTTAATTGCTAATAACAACAGCAATTGGGGAAACTTGTATTGTTAGTGTGCTTGGTCATTCCTCTTCGTCCATATTAACGACGTGTGAGTAAATATTTATTTGAATTGATCACCAGTATTAACATATCATAATTCTCTCTTTCTCTTTCTCTCATTATCCTTCACCCCCCCCCCCCTCTCTCTCTCTCTCTCTCTCTCTCTCTCTCTCTCTCTCTTCTCTCTCTCTCTCCTCTCCTCTCTCTCTCTCTCTCTCTCTCTCTCTCTCTCTCTCTCTCTCTCTCTCTCTCTCCTCTCTCCTCTCTCCTCTCTCTCTCTCTCTCTCCTTCCTCCTCTCCCTCTCCCTCTCCTATCCTCTCCTTCTCTCTTACCCTCTCCGTCTCCTTTCCTCCACCCTGTCCCTCTCCCTCTCCCTTACCCTTCCCCTCTCCTTCCCTCCTCCCTCTCTCTCCCTCTCTACACCCTCTAACCCCACAGGAGACTGCTGGTTCGTGTCTGCTCTCTCTGCCATCACACAGAACCCGGGTTTATTGAGACGTGTGGTTCCAGCGGGCCAGGACTTCACCATGAAATACGTCGGCATTTTCCATTTCAGGTTAAAATCTTGATAATACTTTTTTCGAGATGTGGATTATAAGTGTATGAGTACATATTTTTGTGGTGATGATGAAGTTAAAATCTTGATAATACTTTTTGCGAGATGTGGATTATAAGTGTATGAGTACATATTTTTGTGGTGATGATGAGGAGGATGAGAATGATGATTATGATGGTAATAGTGGTGTTAGTGGTAGATGAAGAAGTTGTAGTAGTAGTAGTAGTGGTGGTGGTGGTAATAGTAGTGGTTGTTGTTGCGGTTGTGATTGTTTTTGTAGAGCAGTAGTAGTAGAAGTAGTAGCTGTTGTTGTTGTAGAGTAGTAGTAGCAGAAGTAGTAGTTGTAGATCAGTAATTAGAGTAGTAGTAGTACAGTAGAAGCAGCATCAGTAGTTATAGTTGTAGTTTTTGCTAATATTGCTGTTGTCATTCTTTTGTTTTTATTGCTACTGCTACCGCTGCTGCTTTTTAGTGTTGCAAGGATGATAATAACGAAAATAATGACGAACAACGAACCAACATTGATAAAAATAACAGCAAACACATCACATATTCCACCAGCCTCAGATAACCAAATTTTCGTCCTCTGTTCTTCGTCTTCTATCCTCTTTCCTCCGTCCTCCGAAATTCGTCCTCCATCCTACGTCGTACGTTCTCTGTCCTTCGCCCTTCGTCCTCCATCCTTCGTCTTGCGTCTTCTGTTTTTCGTCCCCTGTCCTGTCCCTCGTCCTTCCTCCTCCGTTTTCCGCCCTTCGTCCTGTCCTCCATCCTTGTCTTCTTCGTCCTCCGTCCTGCATCCTACGCCCTTCGTCCTCTGTCCTTTCTCCTCCGCTCTTCGTCTTCCGCCCTTCGTCCTTCGTCCTCTGTCCTCTGTCCTCTGTCCATCGTCCTCTATCCTTCGTCCTTTCTCCTCCGCCCTTCGTCCTCTATCCTTCGTCCTTTCTCCTCCACCCTTCGTCCTTTCTCCTCCGTCCTCCGTCCTCCGCCCTTCGTCTTGCGTCCGTCCTTCGTCCTCTATCCTCCGCCCTTCGTCCCCTTTCCTTCGTCCTCTATCCTGCGTCCGTCCTTCGTCCTCTATCCTTCCTCCTTCGTCCTCTATCCTCTGTCCTCCGCCCATCCAGGTTCTGGCAGGGAGGCGAGTGGGTGGACGTGGTGGTGGACGACCAGCTGCCGGTCATCTACGGCTCCACGCTCTGCTTCTCCAGCTCGAGGAATAACTCGGAATTCTGGTCTGCGCTCCTGGAGAAGGCCTATGCGAAGTGAGGATTTTTTTTTTCTTTTTTTTTTGTGATGTTAATGTTGTCTTTTGTAATGGTTAATAGGTTTTTGTGAAGTGATGAGGATTTTTTTTTTCTCTCACTCTCTTTTTCTTTTTTTTCTCTTAATGTTTTTTCTTTTTTGTCATAAAGTGAGGGTGTTATAGAAATTCTTTGTCGTGATTGATAGGTATTTATGAAGTGAAGATAGGGTAGGATTTTTTTTTTATCATTATTATCAGTGCTGGGTGTTGATAAAGTGAGGATATAATTGTTTGAGGAATTATTTTCCCATTTCCATCCCTAATCCCTTATTTTTTCGTTCCTCTCTCATAATTATCCCATTCTTATTCCTCTCCCTCTTCTTCTACACCTTCACCACACCCTTCCCCTTCCTCCCTCCCTCCTCCCCCCCCTCCCCCCTCCCCCCACCTTCCTCCCTCCCTCCACCCTTCTCCCATCCCACCTCAACATCCACCTTCTCCCTCCTCCCATACCCACCCACCCCTCCCTCCTTCATCCCTCCTTCATCCCATACCCACCAACACTGCTCACTCTTCCTCCTCCATCCATACCCGCCCCCCCTCCCTCATCCTCCCCATCCCTCTTCCATTCCCACCAAACCTTCCCACCCTCCCCACACATCCACGCTCCCAACCCATCTTCCCCCTCCCCTCCCCTCATCCCATTACCTTCCCCACCCACCCAACCCTCCCTCTCCCACCCAACCCTCCCCCTCTCCCCACCCAACCCCCCTCTCAACCCAACCCCCTCCCTCTCCCCACCCAACCCTCCCTCTCCCCACCCACCCTCCCCCTCCCCACCCAATCCTCCCCTCCCCTCCGCCCGCAGGCTCCACGGCTCCTACGGCGCCCTCAACTCCGGCAAGAGCTACGAGGCGACGGAGGACCTGACGGGGGGCGTGACGGAGCGGTTCCACCTGCACCGCGAGGACCTTCCGCCGCCCCCGAACCTCTTCAGCGTCGTCGCCAAGGCCCGGCAGCGGGGGTCGCTCGTCACCTGCAATGTTCCGGTAAGGAGGACGTGGGCGGGGCTTGGTGGTGGTGACGAGGACGTGGCGGGGCTAGATGTGGTGACGAGGATGTGGGCGGGGCTTGTTGATGGTGACGAGGACGTGGGCGGGGCGTGACGAGGACGTGGGCGGGGCTTGGTGGTGACGAGGACGTGGGCGGGGCGTGACGAGGACGTGGCGGGGCTTGTTGATGGTGACGAGGACGTGGCGGGGCTTGTTGATGGTGACGAGGACGTGGGCGGGGCTTGTTGATGGTGACGAGGACGTGGGCGGGGCTTAACGGATTGGTTAAGATGATGATGACTTGATGATGGTTAATGGTAGTGATTATTTCATGTTAAATTATGGCGTGATAAATTATTTAGGTGATGATGATGAGTGGGTGATGATTAGTAATAGTAATTAGCTGATATTGGTTCATGATAATTAATGATGGTAATTTATTTATATCGATTTATGATAGCTAATGATAATCAATAACCACACTATCGTTATTAAAAACATCAATAACCCCACTATCGTCATTAAACGTATTAAACCCCATTTCCCACGTTCCAGGGAAGCTGCGAGAGGGAGTGCGAGAACGGGCTGGTGACGGGACATGCCTACAGCCTCACGGGCGCCAGGAGGTGCAGGGTGAACGTCCCCTGGAAACCTTACGTCGATCTGGTTCGCCTGAGGAATCCTTGGGGAGATGATGTGCGTGGCGTCGGGGTCTCAGTGGGGGTTTCTATTTTTTTTTTTTTCTCTCTCTCTCTCTTCTTTCTTTCTGTCTTACTTTTTGTGTGTTTTTTTTCTTTTTCTTTTTCTTTTTGTTATTCTTATTTTTTTTTCTTTCTCTTATCTTTATTTTTTTCTTTTCCTTTGTCTTCTTCTTTTTCTTCTTCTTCTTTTTCTTTTTCTTCTCCTTCTTCTTCTTTAACTTTGCTTGGTAGCTTGTTAGTCTCTCGTATTCTCCACACACACACACACACACACACACACACACACACACACACACACACACACACACACACACACACACACACACACACACACACATATATATATATATATATATATATATATATATATATATATATATATATATATATATATATATATATACGGCAGGGGGGTTGCCTAATAACCATAGTGAGTGTTCTACTTCTCTTTTTCTTCTTTTTTATCTTCCTGTCTTTCTTTTTCGGTCTTTCTCCCAACCCTTATGAAATTAATCAATACTCCCATTCCCATTCCCAAATTCCAACATTTCCATTCCCATTCCCAGACTCCAGTATCCCAATTCCCATTCCCAAATTCCATCATTCCCATTCCCATTCCCAAACTCCATTCCATTCCATTCCCATTCCAATATTCCCATTCCCATTCCAAATTCCAATATTCCATTCCCATTCCAAATTCCATTAATTCCCATTCCCAAATTCCAATATTCCCATTCCCAAATTCCAATATTCCCATTCCCATTCCCAAATTCCATTATTCCCATTCCCAATTCCCAATATTCCCATTCCCATTCCCAAATTCCAATATTCCCATTCCCAAATTCCAATATTCCCATTCCCATTTCCAAATTCAAATATTCCCATTTCCATTCCTAAATTCCAATATTCCCATTCCCATTTCCAAATTCAAATATTCCCATTTCCATTCCTAAATTCCAATATTCCCATTCCCAAATTCCAATATTCCCATTCCCAAATTCCAATATTCCCATTTCCAGATTCCAACATTCCCATTCCCATTATTCCATTCCATTCCAAATTCCATTCCCATTCCCATTCCCAAATTCCAAATTCCCATTCCCCCATTCCCATTCCCATTCCCCCATTCCAAATTCCCATTCCCATTCCCATTCCAAATTATTCCCATTCCCTTCCCAGACGGAGTGGAAGGGCCCCTGGAGCGACGGGTCGGACGAGTGGCGCCTCGTGCCCAGGAGGGAGAGGGAGAGGCTCCAGCTGACGGACGAGGACGACGGCGAGTTCTGGATGTCCTTTGAGGTGGGTGGGGGGGGGGGGGGGGGGGAGGGGGGGAGGAGGAGGAGGGTGGTGGTGTAGTATTAGTAGTAGTAGAAGAAATAGTAGTAGTAGCAGTAGTAGGAGGAGGAGAAGCAGTAGTAGTAGAAGAAATAGTAGTAGCAGTAGTAGGAGGAGAAGCAAATAGTAGTAGAAGAAAAGTAGTAGTAGCAGAAGCAGTAGTAGTAGAAAAGTATAGTAGAAGTAGTAGAGGAGAAGCAGTAGTAGTAGAAGAAATAGTA